CACCGCTCCTCATCCTTTCAGCACTGATCAGGGTTGCATAACCAGGAACTGATGCAGATTTGCTGTTTTCTCCTCCTCTTGCTCCAGCTCCCAGAGAGTGAATTATGGTGTGTTTAAAAACCTCTGAGTTTCCCCAACTCAAACCCAAACCCTGTAATTTGGTGGAGGTCTTGCCGCAGCGGTTGTCACTGGAAAATTGGTTTCTATCCACAGGGTCCATGTGGCCAGGGGCAGAGAGGTGCTGGGCTCTGTATGGGAAAAATGAGCTCCTAGAGTGGGCAAAAGAATATGGAGGGCTGGTGGGGGAGAAGGCAGGGCCTGGCACTGCCTGGCAGAAATGCTGCTTGCCTGAAATGCACCAGGGAGCGAAAATCATCCTTGGGGATACCCCTGGAGGATAAGACACTGAGCAAAGAGTGCTCCTGACAGGGAGAAGACCAGGACAGAACCATTCACCAGGCTGAGGACATGATGTCCAGGACCACCTGAAGGCCCCCAAAGTCAGTGGAGAAGCACTCACCTCCAGTCCCATCCTCTCCTGGGCTTGGGACTGGTGATGCCTCCACCTTCTTTCCTTCACCACAAATTACCTGGCCAACCCCTTCTGTCAGCCTTTTTCCCCCTTTCTAGACAAAACAACCTTTCCCCATTCCTGGGACTGCTCCCTTCTTCTCCAGACTTGCCTAGCCTCTTTCATCATGCCAATAAAAGAGTAAATGCATCACAGGCTGGCCAGGGAGAGTGGAAATCCTTAAACATCTGAGAGGCGAGAGCGACCAGAGGTGTTTTTCCGAGGCTCCCTGATGCCCTGTTAGGTCAAATGTCTTGCTCTGAAGCAGGAGAGAGGGGACTTATTAAAAACCTTTCATTTTTCTGATTTTTAAGGTCCTGTTTCAGCAGGCCGGAGGCCGAGGCGTGAGTGGGGCTGTCGGAGGGGAAGGGCAGCGATCTGACGGCGTGCAAACAGATTGTGCAATATTTGCCTTGCACAGAGCTCCCATTGTAAAGCCTGGGAGTTCTGCTTCCAATAAATCCCCTGCCATAATGCCCCATTGATGGCAGGAGAAAGGCAGTATTGAGGGCTGAAACAGCTATGGCCTCAGGAAGGGTTAAAAAATAAAGAAAAGGGGGGGGAAAAAAGTGAAAAAAAAAAAGAAAGATTTGAGGCTTAGTTTTAAACTTTGCTGTGTGGCCCTCGTGGCAGATCTCAGGCACAGGGAAATATGTGGAGCCTGTTTGCATAACCCCATTTGCAGCGAGCGCTTTCGGAGCCAAAACGCAAGTGCGGCCGGAGCCGGGGGGCGGTGGGGAGAAAAAAGCAGGAAGGGCTGTGTTTATTTTCATTCTTGCCCCAGGCCACATAAAATTAATAATTTAGAAAAAAAAGAAAAAGGAATAATTAAATATTTGGTCAGAGAACCAGCTGTGCAAATGTGAGGAGCTGTGACAGCTGCAGGGACATGGAGGGATTTGGTCCAGGCACTGGTCAGGGTTTGATGCCCTGCAGGTTATGTTCCTGGGTGTCAAAGCACCAAAAAGGAGCAGTTTGGGCTTTGCTGAGTGATTCCTCAGCATGGGGAGCTTGGTTCCAGCTGAGAAGGGTCTGCAGGCACCTGAAGGGCTGGGCTGGGGTTCAGGGGTTGATGTTCTGCTGCCAGCCCCATATCCAGCACCCAGCTCAGCTGATGGGCCTCCCCATCACCCTGAACTGGCAATGCCACTGCAGACCTGGCTGGGAGGGAGATTCAGCGTCCTGTGTCACAGCAGCTGGTGTGATGGGAGGAGCAGGGCTGTCCTTGCCAGGGCAGATGCAGGACCAAAGCAGGCAGGGTCTGCTGGCTGGCTCAGCACTCACAGCCGGGCCAGCTGCCAGGGGAAATCTCCCCATTGTGCAACATGCTGGAGCTCTCCAAGGAAGCTCCTGGCTCTTGAGACATCTCTGAGTGAGGCTGGACGAGTGACTGCCTTGCATTAAGAGCGGTTGAGGGGGTGCCTGCAGGCCATGAGTACTTTTTCCATCCCTAGACCTTGTGATGCATTAATCACTCTCAGAGCAGCTGTGCAGACAGCTTAAATCGTCCTGACCCCAAAACTCCAGACTTGTCATTTCTTCCTCCTCCTCCTCCCTGCTAGCCACTCCCTTCTCCTGCCTCTGTCCTGATATCAGTAGGGCTGGTTGGAGGGTGCCATTGCACCCCATTTCTTGGGATCTAGAGTGTTCTCACTGCACCCCTTGCTGCCTTTCACCCTTTTATCATTTCTTGGAGGAGCAACCAGAAGGTGTCCATGTGCTGCTGAGACCCAGCCAGCTGTCCCTGAACCTTCTGAGCAGGGTCACTGCCAACAGATTCACTATTTATTCACCCTTTGGCTCTTGGAAAAGCTCCCTCAGCTGAGTTAACCCTGCTGTTTCCTCCCCAGACCTGGGACCAGCTTGGACCCATCACTGATTTAACTGAGCCAGCTGCCCTGGCTGGCACAGAAGGTCCCCTGCCCGCGTCAGCCCTGCTGCCACCTCCTTCCCTCCTTCAACCCTTTGAGCTTTGGCCACTGACAGCAGCTGAAGCTCAGGATGACTCTCCCAGCCTGTGCCTCCTCATCCTGAGGGTGTGAGCTGGATGTGCCCCACCACAGGCCTGTGCAGCCGCAAATCACACACCCAGGAGGTGCTTGGCTCTGCTTTGCTCCTCAGAGGTGGGATCCAGCCCTGCTCCTCGTAGGTGGGCTCCAGACCCACTCCTGTGGCCACACATCCCTCCTGCTGCCCCCTCCTGCACCTCCCTCCTGCTCATCCCCTGGCCCCGAGCAAGACACAGTTTATCAGTGATCTGTGTTGCCTTGAACACAGTTTCTCTGCCATGTCTCAGGCCTGACATCTTCAATTTCCTCTCTCATCTGTAACACTCACCCAAATGGGCCATTATTTATTATTTGGGAAGAGCTCTGATTACAAGCCCTGGCAATAACTCTGCTTTGGGGTGTGTACAGAGCCATGTGTGCAGGAGAACACAGGACCCAGGAGAATTTGGATCCCCCACCACTACTTCCCTTCAGCCAGGTCCAAGTTTTTCCAGGAGGAGGATATTGTTCAAAACTAAAGGTGTTGGGGAGGGAAAGGGAGACAAGTGGTGGGAAGGAGTGAGGGAAAGGGAGAAGAGAATTGGGTGGAGGAAATGAGAGATGAACCCCTGGGGATTAATCAAAGCTCACTGAAGGGCTCAGCCCAGCCCTTCTGAGCTGTCGAGTGAGCAGGGGTTGCTGCCAGCAGGGAAAAGCACAGAACACAGCGATCCCTCCCTGCCTCCAGCTCTGTCCCCTGCACCCCTCCCTGCGCTCCTGCAAGCCCCTGAGCCCTGGCTGGAGCTGGTCCTGGTCCCTGTCCTTGACCCCATCCTTTCTGCCTGTGTCTAAAGGGAGTCCCTGGGAGTGAGGAGCCTGGTGGTCCCTCCTCCCCGCTCCTCCATGGTGTCTGGGGTCCTAGGGAGCAGGCTGGTGTGGGGCAGGGGGGGCACCTGGGGGCTGGAGGGTCAGTGGAAGGACAGGGAGTGGGGGAAGGAGATGTGTCGGGAGCCATGGAGCCATCTGTCTCATCTGCTCTTCTGAGCCAGTTCTGAAGGCAGAGCCCTCCCAGCCCCCAGTGAGCCCCACCACAGCCCTGCAGCTGTAAAGGCAGGTGGGGTGGCTGGGCTGGGGGCTGCTGGGGTGCCCAGTGCACTGGGACCCCTCAGGTCCCCATCATTTTGGGACTGCAACCAGCCACAGGGCTCAGCTCCCAGCTCTGACAGGGGGTTGTGCTAAAAGTGCCCCTTCCTGGGCCATGTCCTTGGCTGGGAAAGTGGGGGGACAAGAGGCATACCAGGCATGAGGGCTCCCTGATGGATGCTGGCCCTTCAGCAGGAATTGCACAGGGCCATTGCTCATCTCTGCCTACCCCCTCCCTGAAGCATCAGGGCACTGCCCCCCTGTCCCAGCACCCCAAGCTCAGATCTGTACCCCTGCACTGGCAGAAGTCTCTGGTTCCCACCAAACCTTGCCCTTCTTATGTGACAATGGCCCTTCGCTGCCTCAGTTTCCCCACTTGGAAAATGTGTGCGGCAGCAGCCACCACTCCTTAGTGCTCTACAAGTCCCCGGGTGGTTTTATTAACACTGGGGATGTTCAAACAAGTTTTTGCAGCTTCTCCTCGTTCAGGATTTCTTTGGATGACGATCCTGCCACCAATCCCTACCAGACAGAGACCCATCTCTCCCTGATGCCCTGCCGGGCTGGATGCTGCGGGGGCTTCAGCTGAGCATCCCACCAAGGGCCCTGATCCGAGCATCGGCGGCTCAGGGAATGCCACGCTCAGGAAGGACCCCGCATGCCCTGGGGCTTCCCAGCTTTTTGCTGGAGCCGCTGAGCTGGGAGGGGCCGAGCCGGCGGCTCCCCATAAACCTGGCGGCTCAGACAACTCCTGACAGATGTTGGGACCGTGCCTCGGAGCGGAGGCTGGGAAAGGAGAGGGCGGCTCCTGCCCGAGAGCTCGGAGGAGAGCTCGGCACCCCTGGCTTGAACTTTAGCACCCTCTTCCGCAGGAGTTTAACGAGGAGCCGGCTGGAGAGCGGGCAGGCGCAGGGCTGGAGCGGGCGAGGGGCCGCAGAAACTTTGTCTGAGGAGGATTCTGTGGAGCTCTCCATAAAGGCAGAAAGCCCCAGGAAGGCAGGAAGTGTTTGCAGCGCTCGGGACGCTGGTGAGCGGCCCCGGGCCGTGCTGCCGTGCAGATGTGCGCGATTGGAGCAGCGCTGGGCTCGTTTTCCTTTGACTGAAGGCGACCCAGCCCCGGCGGATTCAGCTCTTTGTGTGCACGCCAGTGTGCCTGGATGGAAGCTGCTCCCGCAAAACCGGCTGTGAGGGGTGCGGGGAGCATCCTCTAGGGCAGGGAGGGGGAGCCCTCCTGTTTTCGTGGCTCTGGGGCGATGCTGGGACAGTAACACCCTCGGCAGGCAGCACAGCGCTTCGGGATGGCCGTCTATGCCCTCACGGGCTTCTCGCTCGTCAGCCTGCTCAGCTTTGGCTATTTGTCCTGGGACTGGATGAAGCCCAGTTTGGTGGCTGATGTGGCCACAGACCCCATGGAGAAATCACCGCCTCCCACCTTCACCAGGCCACCCCACATCATCTTCATTCTGACCGACGACCAGGGCTACCACGACATCGGCTATCACGGCTCAGATATCCAGACACCGACGCTGGACAGGCTGGCGGCAGAAGGTGTGAAGCTGGAGAACTACTACATCCAGCCCATCTGCACCCCGTCCCGGAGCCAGCTGATAACTGGCAGGTAAGCCAGTGCCTGCTCACAGCCTGCTCATGTCCCCCTTTGGTCCCTTCTCTGAGGGGCTTAACCCCAGCTTGCTGCCAGAGCGATGCCCTGGTGTGTTGGCAGAGGATGGAGATCCTCCAGCAGGTCTGGATTTCTCTAGAAAGCTTCCTGGGTGAATAGTTGATTTCCACACAGGATAAAGAGTGGCACATGGCAAGAGGAAAACTGTGGATGCTGCTGGGTGATGGATGACACTTTGGGAGAGGGTGGTCTCTGGTCAGGAGGTGTTTGGTGCTGGGCAAGCAGCTGTGTCCCCATGACACACTGGCCCTTGGAGATTTGCTGTGAGGCTCTTGGTCTGTGCTTTGCCTGCATGTGTGTTCAGTGCTGCACTGGCCAGCACAGGCTGGATGTTGCTCCATTGCCCTCTCCCATGGCAGCACAGTCAGATGTCCCCTCATCCTGGGCCATTCTGCCTTCTAGGATTGGTGGGGCTTTCTCTGGAGCAGTGCTGTGTGGTCAGCACTGCCTGTAGGAGGCAGATCCCACCAGACCACCTTCTGCTGAGGAGTGGGCCCAGGGAGGTGCCTATGGATGTGGTCACCAACTGCCTGGGGTGATGGAACCCACCACTGTACAAGCAAAGGCCTCTCTTCTCTCCTGATGGTTCTTGAGGGGTCCCAGACACCTTTGTGGTGTGCAAAGCAGGGGAGGACAGAGATGGTGGGGACATTCAGGTGGGGCATTATGAACCCTCTTGCTTGTGCTGCCCAGCCCTGACACAGCCCAGCCACTTCCCCAGGCTGGCAGCAGTGGGGACAAACGCTGGTGGCATTTTTGTGAAATGTCTGCTGAGCCTCTCTCTGTGTTCTTTGCATCTCCTTTTGGTACTTACAGACAGATGAAGAGCTCCCTGTCCCTGGCTGGAGCTTGCTTCATTAGGTTGGGTTGGGTGACACGGAAATCTGCATTTGTTTTGGGTTTCCAACACATAAAGTGCCATCACATCCTCACCCAGCGCTGCTCCTCATCACCATTGCTTTCCTCTGGCTCTTCCTCCTGGCAGGTACCAGATCCACACAGGATTGCAGCACTCCATCATCCGCCCTCGGCAGCCCAACTGCCTGCCCCTGGACCAGGTCACCCTGCCGCAGAAGCTGCAGGAGGCCGGCTACTCCACGCACATGGTGGGCAAGTGGCACCTGGGCTTCTACAAGAAGGAGTGCCTGCCCACTCGCCGGGGCTTCGACACCTTCCTGGGCTCCCTGACAGGCAACGTGGATTACTACACCTACGACAACTGCGACGGGCCCGACGTCTGCGGCTACGACCTGCACGAGGGGGAGGACGTGGCGTGGGACCAGAGCGGGAAATATTCCACCTTCCTCTACGCCCAGCGAGTCAGCAAGATCCTGGCATCCCACAGCCCCAAGGAGCCCATCTTCATCTACGTGGCCTTCCAAGCGGTGCACACGCCCCTGCAGTCCCCCAAGGAGTACATCTACCGCTACCGCTCCATGGGCAACGTCGCCCGCCGCAAGTACGCGGCCATGGTCACCTGCATGGACGAGGCGGTCAAGAACATCACCTGGGCCCTCAAGAAGTATGGGTACTATGACAACAGTGTGATCGTGTTCTCCACGGATAATGGTGGGCAGACCTTCTCCGGGGGAAGCAACTGGCCGCTGCGGGGTCGCAAAGGGACGTACTGGGAAGGAGGAGTGCGGGGCATTGGTTTTGTGCACAGTCCCCTGATCAAGCGCAAGCGTCGGACAAGCTGGGCGCTGGTTCACATTACAGACTGGTACCCTACTCTGGTCAGCCTGGCCAGGGGCAACCTGAGCAATGTCCAAGGCTTGGATGGCTACGATGTCTGGCCTGCTATCAGTGAGGGTAAGGAATCGGCACGCACCGAAATCCTGCACAACATTGACCCCTTGTACAACCATGCCAAGTACGGCTCCTTGGAGGACGGCTTTGGCATCTGGAACACGGCTGTGCAAGCTTCCATCCGGGTTGGGGAGTGGAAGCTCCTCACTGGCGACCCAGGGTACAGCGACTGGATACCCCCACAGACCCTGACCAACTTCCCAGGGAGCTGGTGGAACCTGGAGCGTCTCACCGATGGCCCCAGGAAGTCCGTGTGGCTCTTCAACATCACCGCTGACCCCTACGAGCGCTACGACCTCTCAGAGCAGCGGCCAGACGTGGTCAGGAGCCTCCTGCTGAGGCTGGTGCACTACAACCGCACGGCCATCCCGGTGCGCTACCCTGCCGAGAACCCCCGCGCTCACCCCGACTTCAACGGCGGCGCCTGGGGACCGTGGGCCACTGAGGATGAGGGGGAGGAGTGGGAAGGAGGCCGGGAGTCCCTGAAAGGCAGGAACAAGAAGAAGAAGAAGAAGTGCAAGATCTGCAAGCTGCGCTCCTTCTTCCGCAAGCTGAACACCAGGCTCATGTCCAACCGCATCTGACAGGACACTCCCCCAGCATCCACCCGTCCTGGCCAGGGTGGAGCTCTGGACTGCAGTGCCATGGGATGGGAGTGAGGGAGAAGGACAGGCAGGGAGGTGGCCAGTGCTCTCTTGCTCTCCTTTGTTCCAGGGTTCACTCCAAAACACTTCTCCTCCCTGGCTGGAGTGGTGGCCACAGGGAGCTGCTCCCAGTGGGTGAGGAAGGGTGATGTGGTCTCTGCTGTGGTGCTTGGCGGTGGTGAATGACTGTGCTGAGCTGGGCTGGCCCTGCATAGTGGCTTCCAAAGGGAGAGACCCTTTCCTCAAGGATTCTGCAGCCAATCATAAGCTTTAAGTATTGGCCATTGCAAGGGCAGGAGGAGGCATGGGGGGCTCTGCCTTCACGTGAACCCTCGCCATTCCCCTCTATTTGCTCCTGGTTTGCAGCCTGCTCCCAAGCAGCTGCAACATTTACTCTTGCTCTGGGAACTCGAGGGCCTTCCCCAAACCCAAAACCACATTGCTTCTTTGTGGAGGGATGGATTCCTGACCATGGGTGTCAGACCTGAGATCAACGTGGCTGGACTAAGTCATGCTGCTACAGTGACCTCATGTGGGGCTATGGCTTCCCCTCTCCACTGACTTGGGGGGCCAGGAGCAGCCCTGATGAGGAGTTGTGGCCCATGGAGGCATGGTTGGATGCTCCCAGAAGACAGGTGGTTCTCTTTGGGCCCACATTTGGGAGGCAGGTTTGTCCCAGGCTCTGGTGGTGGACTCTACATAGGTAGAGCAGAGCCTTTCACCCAAAATTTGCCTGGACACCCCTTCACGTGCAAGCCTCTAGGCACCCCTGCTCCTCGCTATGAATCCTACACATCCAACCAGCCAACCACCCAGTGCTGAAGCTGTCCCTGTCCCCATTGCTGAACCTGGGGCAGAGGGAAGATCTCAAGAAGGTCTCTGCAGAAGCTGATCTGCTGTTTTGCAGCTGCGGGACTTTTGAAGCCACGGTGGAGGACGGGGATGACGGGGCCGTCTCCCGCCCGCCAGCACCGCGCCACGTCCCCTCCTCGCAGATGGGCACTGCTCTTCCAGCAGCGCACGCGTGGGGAGGAAAACACCTCCCCATCATCCACTGCTGGGGGAGCCAGCCCAGGGACCGCCAGGGGCCAGGGAGGCCAGCAGAGCTCCGGGCCCAGGGAAGCCAGCAGAGCCCCCGTGCCTTCGGCGGGGTGAGAGCACGCATACGTGCGCTCGCAGGAGAGCTGGCGAGGATGGAAGGGGGTAAATAGCTTGAAATCGTTTTGGATGCATGGTGCATTTCCATTTACACAATGTGTTTTACATTTCTCCCCACAGGTTTCTCTTGGTGCAGCGTGTGTAGGCGAAGGCCCTGCTGTGAATTTTGAAAATAGTTATTTTTGTCTCTGGAAAATGAGGCCCGTTAGGACTTGTCAGCTCTTGGATGAGCAGTGTGGGCTTTCTATTTTTTTTCTTTTCCCCCCTCTCTTTCTCCCTTGCAAAATAACATTCATTTAAAATCTGTCATTGAAAGATGTGACAATTGGCAGCGTGCACACTGAATACCTTTCAGTGCTCTTTCAAGCCCTGTGTGTGAGAGAGGGATGAGGATGAGAAGAAAATGACATGTTTGTATTTTTTTTTTCTTACTCTTAGCTGGATTATTTGGGGGTATTGGGATTTTCTATAGAAACAAAGGAAAAAAAACAGCTGACAGCAAGGCAGAAGAGAGGAGGCCTCTTCTTGTGGAGCTGGGAAGGAGTTTGAAAAGCTGGAGTGTGGCAGCGTGTGCGCCAGTCCCTGCAGCTCCGCGCACGCCCATCGCTGTGCCATCCCACCCTGCTGGCTCCTGCATCCCTGCATCCCTGCAGGCACATCCCAAGCACTCCTGCATGCCTGCATCCCTGCAGGCACATCCCAAGCACAGGGTTCAGAGGGGGCTCATCTCCTCCATCAGCCCCATCTCCATCCCTGCTCCCTTAGCGTGTTGCTCCAAGAGGACTGGTCCCCACAGCATCACCTGGGTGAGCCCCAGGAGGATGCTCCACATCCTCACACTACCTCAAACCAAACCAGCCAGCCTGGTCCCTGGGGATGTGCTCCATCAGCGGGACTGCGGCACCGGCTCCCATTTGGCAGAGCCAAGCAGTTGCTGAAAATAAAGCAACACTTTGCTGAAGAAGAGGAGGCTGCTGCAGACAGAGCCAAAGCCAGGGGAGAGCAGGGGGTGATGCTGCAGGGGCTTGGGAACAAATATTGGCTAAGGGAGAGTTGGTGCTGAAGGGAATGGGAGAGCAGGGCTGGACATGAGGTGATGACAAGGCTCGGGAAACAGCTTTCATTTCCATATTTACATAAATGCATCCAAGTTTACTCTTTTTATTTTCTTTTCATTCAAAAATGGAAATTTCCATGAAAACATGCTCAATCTTTCTCCCTTCCCTTTTTACTAACATCCCCATGAAAATGTTCCTCTGGTCACACTTCCTTTTTCCAGGTTTGGAGCTGCTGGGCTGATGCTGGGTTTGCAGTCAGCCTGGCCACAGTGGTGGATCTGTTGTCATCTGTATTTTTAATTAAAAAGAGTCGGATTCTGAATCTTTGCAAGAAGAAACCGCTGAAGGAAAATCTTAGTCCCTGAAAACAAAGAGGAGAGGTGGGCAGGAGCATCTCTGGGTGCTTGGAGAGAGCAAAGCCTCCAGCCGCAGGGCAGCAGTTGTCCTTCGCCCCTGATTCCAGCTGTGCTGTGTCTGAACATTGGGCTGGGAAAGGAGATGCAGCTGCTGCCACGTGTTCTCCTCATCAGAGCAATGTTCATTAATGGTCTGTGCTGGGGAAAACACAGCCATGTGCCAAACCCCCGTGCTTTCAGAGAGCTGAACTCCCCCGGGGCTGTGTGCACGCTCTGGCTGCCAAGGGGTTAATGCAGCTGGAGGGATGCTCGGGCGGTGGAGCTCCCCGCACCCGGGAGATGTTTTCACAGACAGGCTGAGGCTCCCCTCCTTGCCAGCCTCCCTTCCAGCCCCGCAGGAGCCGGGTGTAGGACGGGGAGGGCAGGGCAGGGCAGGGGATGGATGCCTCGGGGCCCTGGGGATGGAGGGGGGCTGTGGCTGCCTCCCTGCAGCCAGGGACCCGCTGTCCCCGCCCGGGCTGGCTGGAGCGAGGGGGAAGGGGATGGGCTGGGAACGAACGGAGTTGGGATGGGATAGAGATGGGGAGGAGGAGAAGAGGAGGGTGGGGCTGGGCTGGGGAGAGGAGAGGATGGGATGGGATAGGACGGGGATGGAATAGGGATGGGACGCATCAGGCAGGGCTGGGGGTGCGTCAGAGCCTCTCCAGCCCTGCAGGCAACTCCCACCCGAGACAGGGAAGGAGCCCAGTGTCAGGACAGGGGATGGGCATCCCAGCAAACTGCCCAGTGGCTGTGGCAGAGCACCCTGAGCACCTCAGAAGGTGTTCTGCATCGGGGGCACTTGTGTCCTTTCTCATGCCAGAGATCTGAGGATCATGAGTGGTTTTGCAGGTTCCCCCACTCAGATCCCGTGCACAGGGAGCCACTGGCACCTGCTGAGTGTCCCCAGGTATCATGGGCATGTCCCCAGGAGGGTCTTTGCCTATGAGCCCAGCTGCAGGGGAGAGGGTGGCACTGAGGGCACTCTGTCTCAGCCAAAACCACCTTCCTGTGCTTGCAGGAGCAGGTGCTGGGCCTGTAGGGACAGGGCACGTTTGCAAACACAGCCCTAAATGTAAATCAGCTCTCCTCAGCACGGTATTTATAATCTTATCTAAAAATAACCCCAAATTCAGCTTCCCAGAGGACAGCAACTGAGCATCCCCCAGACCCCAGCTTGCATGTGAAGCTGTCCCAGTAATTCTGGGATCTCTGCAGTGTGTAATTGGCAGCCTGGCTGGTTTGCTGTGCGAGGCACTGCTGCAAGCCCCATCCCCTGGGAGCAGGGGCGCTGCTGCAGCCCCCCCAGGACACGTGGGTCCATCCTGAGCTCCCCAGCCCGTGTGGTTGGGGTTCAGCATCCAACCTCGGGTGCCCACCCTGGGGCAGCCCCGTGCTGGGATGCAGAATCCAGAGCTCTGCAGGCAGAGCTGGAGCAGGGTGTGGAGAGCAGGATGCATTTTTGGAGAGGCCAGCCCAGTGATGGAGAGGAGCACTGGGGATGAAGGTCTCCATCAGGTGGCCAGACCCGAGCATGGCAGCAGGAGAGCAGCATGGCTTCAAAGCCCTGCAGGAGCAAATCTTGGGATGGCTGGGAACAGACACACCGTAAGGATATCCTGAGGCCTCTGGGAGAGGACTGGGACTGCTCCTCCCTGCAGGGGAGCCCCCAGCCCAGAGCTGGAAGGTTCCACCCAGAGCTCCTGCTCCCCTGGGATTGTCCCCAGGCACCCAGCGTTGGGACCACTCAGCAGTTCCTGCTTGGGAAAACATTATCAGCAAAGCAGAGCCTGTTCAGCACGCAGAAGTCTGACACCCCCTTACCCTCAGAAGGAAAAATGTCGAGGAAAATGAAAAAAAATAAATGAATAGGGAGAAGAGCAGAGAGGGAGAAACTTTTCCTGGAGAGCCCTGGGGAGGGAGGCAGGGACGGTGCCACCAGCCCTGCCCGGGTGAGGGCCGGGCTGCAGCAGGGCCTGAGCCCTCCCTGGAGCACGCAGAGTCACGCGTGTGGGGCTGAGCACGTGTGGCAGCGCGGGGGTGGCACGGGAGGGGGCAGGTCACATTGCCGAGCGCACGGGGACACGAACGCGCCGCAGGTGGGAGGCACTGGGAGTGGGGAGGGGGCTCAGAGCTGCCCACGGGCACCCTGGGGGTCCTGGCAGCGGGGGGCTCCTGCTCCTGCCTCTGGGGTTCCAGGGGGCTGCTGGGGCTGGCAGCAGAACGCCGCAGGAGGAGAGAACTCCCACAAACATCCGGGTGCACCGGCCCCCATGGCAGCCCCCAGCCCCTGGCACAGCCCTGGCGTGGGGAGTGAACCCCCTTTTTGTGGGAGCAGCATGGGGAGGGGTTGTGCAGATGCCTGGAGGCGTTTTGGGGACCGTGGTGTCCCCGGGGCACAGATGGCACATGAGCACTGCCTGCAGCCCAAGGGAGGGTGCCTGGGGTGCTCTGCCCGTGCCAGGGCATGGCCAGGGTGGGTCTGGAGGTCATCAACCCTTGGGGACTGTGGCCCCATCCCTGTGCCAGTCCCTGGCTGGGAACCAGTCCCGGCTCTGCCAG